AGGCCACTGTGCATGCAGGCAGCTCACCCTAAGGGAAGAGTCAAGGGAAACTGGATGCAAGATGCTGGAAGTAAGCCTGCATATAAAACCCTAAGTCTAAGTTCAAATGGACTTTGAACAAGATGCCCACTTGTTCCTCTTCCAAGTGTAATTTATTTTCCTTGCCTTCCTGCTCTGAAGCTTTTTAATTAACTTTCAGCCTGCTCTAAAACTTGCCTTCATCTCATCTTCAGCCTTATGCCCCTCAGTCCAATTCTTTATCCTGAGGAAACAAGAATTGAGGTTGCTGCAGACCCATGTGTATTTGCTGCAACACTCAGAAAATAGAGTCACAGTATTCACAATGTTAAAAATTAAATTAGCAATGCCTTGATACAAAGCACAACAGTTAATCCACAAAGTTGAAAAAAGACTGTTGTTACTCATGATTACAACCCACTTAGGTTTCATACTTAAGTAGTACCTCTTGGAGTGATATGGATTATCTGTGAACCTCAAATTATGGTTGCCAACGTCAATGGTTGTGGGAGAGAACAGTGACAGTGATTAAGGAAGATAAATAATCTCTGCTGTCTGCATTTGGCACTAAAAACAATGTTGCTTTCAGACCCCAGTTTTTGGGCTGCTGTGTGAAGTTTGTACTTTCTCCTCAACTATCTGGCTCCTTTGTCACTGATGTACTTTTGGGGACTTCAGTAAGATGGTTTTCCAGGTTGTATTTCTTTTTCCCCATGAAGGTTTTGGCCCTTGCACTGAAACAGTGTTTCTTACTGCCCTCCAGAGGTACTCCATTTGTGACCCTTAGTCAGAGACACCCAGGACCAGCACCTCCTATTTTTCTATATTTGTATCTTTGGTGCTGATATTGGCATGTTAGTTCCCTCCCTCCAAGAAGGTTCTTAGCTCATTGTGAGCATTGGTGTCTGCTAGTTAGCAAGGAGCTGAGCTCTGCCTCTTATTGGACAATGTAAAGAATCTTTCCCTTGGAGACCACAGTACTTTCCATTGCCCTTAGACTGGGGCAACATCTTCTTCCCAGATCTATACTTTTATAATTAAGTCATCATGCTCAAATGATTCTTCAGTTCAAAAAAAGAAGTCTGAGGCCAGGCGCAGTGGCATATGCCTGTAATTCCAGCACTTTGGGAGGCCAAGGTGGATGGATTACTTGAAGCCACAGTTTCAGATCAGCCTGGCCAACATGGAAAAACCCCATCTCTACTATAAATACAAAAATTAACTGGGCATGGTAGTACATGCCTGTAGTCCCAGCTACTCAGGAGGCTGAGGCATAAGAATCACTTGAACCTGGAAGGTGAAGATTGTGCCACTGAGATTGAGGTTGGCACTGAGATCGTATCATTGCACTCCAGCCTGGGCAACAGAATGAGCCTCTGTCTTAAAACAAACAGAACAGATCTGCTGTGTGGTGACTTGGTGGTTCTTGCCTTTATGGATCTTTGTCTGGCAGTTTCCCTAAATCCAATTTAATTTCTATCTACTACAAGTTAGGGTCTTTGAGGACATGCATGATGTTCTTTTATCTTTGTAATTTCTATTACCTATACATATTTCTATCACCTATAATAGAAGCTCATAAATACTTGATAAGTGAAGTTCGTGTAGTCTACAGATGCCTTCATATGGATGGCAAAACAGTATAAAACAATATAAAGGTATTTGAAATATTAGTACAGAGGAAAAGAAAATATTTATCAGTTTATTTCTTAACCGAAAACCTAAACTTTATTCTACCCTTGATTTTTCTGAAAGTGTCTGAAGAAAGGTACTATACCTACTAATACTATAAACTCAGACTCTGTTTAGTCTAGGGTTACAGATGACCAGACAGTAACTGTGTATACCATGTATACCTCCTTTACTGGTATACCTCCTTTACATAACTGCCTCCTTTACATAACTTCATTGGACAGTTCATTTCAAAGGGTTATTTGCCTCATCTCCTATCTTCGGTGAAATCTTACGTGTAATTGTGTGTATTTAGTCCACCATGGGAACAGAGAACACCTGCTTAGCGTTGCACTTTAGACTGGTGTCTGTTTTATTAATACAGCTTTGCCACAAATTCTCCTTTATCTTTTAAAAATGTTATAGCTTTAAATTATGACTTATTTTGACTGTGAAATAAATACATGAATAAAAAATAAATAAAATAAATTATCCCTTACATTTTTAAGGGAGATAAGACCACTTGTTACCTGTAGAGAGAAAGCACACATTAAGTAAATAACAGAGTTTAGCTGAATGCTAGAAGAGCAAGACACATATAATGTAATGATGAACAAATACATTTGATGTATTAGAAGAAGAAAGAAGGGCAGTAAGGCACATGGGGTCATCTGGACAGTGAGATACTGGCACACAAGGGATAAGAGAAAGGCAGCCAGACAGGACAAGTTAGGAAAGAACACTTACTTGTTACATGTACAGTCAGTTTCCAGGATGCAAACCAATGGTAAAACCCTCCAGTATTTAAACTCATGCATCAGACTCTAAACCACTGAGGCCATAAAACATATTGCTTTGTAGCCCTGTTACTCTGCATGATGCTGAGCACCAACCAGCACCTTGATGAGTTTGCTGACACATTGAATGGGGACTCTGCCTTTGTCCTTGCAGGAAACTCTCCCTAGAGCCCCCTCCTTTTGGTCTGTGGAATTGTACCCTAGGACCCAATAGCACACATCACTACCTAGGATGTTCATAAAGTACTTCTGACGATATTAAAGCCGAAGCCTTGAGCTGTATTTCATACCCCAAGGCTCTGACTCAACATTTCATCTTCAATTGCTTGATAGAGTACATTCTAATTTTTAGAAAACCATTCAATTTTCCTATATACCACAGGATGAATAGGAAGATCTCCTGCAAGGGAGGCCCTAAGTGGGAATTGCAGTGAGTCCTGGAGTCACTCAATACAATACAATGGAAATAAAAGTCAACTCCCTTCTGTTGTTCCGTTTCTCCTTTTGCATGAGCAAATGGGAAGGGAATCATCTTTAGGGCATTATGTATTCATTGAGGGGCTGTGACCTTAATCCATAAAGCTCTCTACAGTTTATGCTTTGATTACCTTAAAGCCTGCCTCCCACTATACTTGTCCCAGACAATCAAAATCGCCTCACAATGTGCCTGCTAAAGTTCAGTTGCAGTGGGCCCAAGACCAAGCCATCTGGCAAGTAGCGTTTGGCACAGGGCTCCTCTCCTTAAGGTGATCTGACCGTACCACATCGTTTGCCTGGAAATCTCTCTTCTTGCCGTAATGCTCGGCCAGTTTTCAAAACTCATATTATTGGAGAGTACAGTAATTAACAAAAAAAAACTGTAATAATTAATATTATATTATTTTAATTTAATTATTTAATTATTATAATGATTAACTTAATTATTATAATAGTTAAATAAGTAATCTGATGAAACAAAGTCTTCATGAGGAAGTTACACATGCTTCTAAATGATGAAGACGAAATTTATAAGTTTTTTGTTATCGTAAGTTGGTGAAAAAAGTATAAATTCAGCTAGGGGTAGAAGGGAAAGAATAAATATTTTTGGAGACCCTACTATGTGTCAGAAAGTTGATGCGTTTTCTTATCTGACTCACAACTCTATGATGCAGATCTCATTATTCTTATTTTACAAATGAGGAAACTGGGGAAAGGTTAAGTAACACCTCTAAAGGCACATGAGTAGTAATAACCTCAAAATTCAAATCTAAGTGTGCAGGCTCCAGCTATTAGGTCTTTACAGTTTGTGACCTAAATAATCTTTATCTGAACTGTTTTTCTTTACAGCCGTAATTCATTTCTTCTTTATCTTCTTTACCTTGCCATTTTATATCATCTGCCATCTTTTCATATTTCTTCATCATTTATCCTTGAGAATCTCTTTAGTTACCCTTTAAAATAACTATATTTCTAATTTCCTTTCTGATCTCTAACAGCTTAAGCCATTGTTATCTTTTCTTTACCAGTTTATTAACCCCCTAAATGGCCTCATATTTATTCTCTTTGTTCTCTACCATTGATCATTGTTGAGAAAGTAAATTATGCTACTCTCTTGCTCAAAATCCTACAATAGGCTTACATCACAACTTAAAGTAAAATTCCCTCTTTTGGTGGCCAAGAAGGTCCTTTGTGATCTGTGCCCTCACTTTTCTCTCTCCTCTTGTCCCTGCCACTGCCCTGCAAGTTCACCTCACTCCAGCCACACTGGTCCTCCTGCAGGATCTTGCAGGCCAAGCTCATTCCTACTTTTGTACTTGCTTCTCCCCTGTCTTCCCTCTGATCTTTTCTTGGTTCGCTCTCTTACTTCATTCAGAGCTCTGATCACCATTCCCTCTTAAGAGGGAACTCCCTTGATTCCCTATTTCTCAAATAGCTGTCAATTAGTTCCACTCTAATCCCTTACCCCATTTCACTCTTCTTCACAGAACTTATGACAAACTACCTGAGACTGTAGTAGTCTTAACATGAACTTAGTCTCTTTTTGTCTGTCTCCTGTCACTAAAATATAGGCTCCATGGAGAGGGGGATATTTTCTGTCTTGTCTGTCCTGTGCCTCAGGGTCTAGAACAGTGCCTGGTTGGAGTAAGCACTCAGGAGACATTTGTCGAATGAATGAAGATATACTTTCACAAATGTTTGGTAGTATTCAAAATGATCTTAGCAAATTGCCTTTTTGCTCTTTGAATTACTCCTTCTCATTGCTTTGTTGCATTTTTTAGTTATATTCTTACTCTAGCAATTGATCACATACTGCCTTATGATATGTCTTATATTACTTAAATGACTTTTATACAATATTACTATTGTGTGTTTCTGTTTTTTATCTCATTGGCAAGGACCACAGCAACTGAAGCATGACCTATGCTACTCTTGGTATTTCCCATAGCAATGCAGTTTATATGATACCCCATAGCAGAAATCAACAGCCACTTTTATATTTGATGATTAAACTAATAACACATTATTAAATACCTACTATGTGCAACACAGTATTGTAACTCCTGTTTTCATATTATTTCTTTTATCCTTTTTATCCTGTGTAAAAAAAAAAAAAAAAGGCTTGTAATAGGCTCCACAGCTAGGGCATCGCTGGGCCTCGCCTTTGTGCAACCAAAACCAGATGACGGTACTGTTCTCCTCTTCACAAATAGAGCCCACTGTTCTCTTGTTGGTGACAGAAGGAACTAAATTAGGGTCTTCCTTAGTGCCTGAAGCTCCCTTTGGGGGCAGTATATTGTATGGGTCCAGTCCCTTTCTTGCAGACAACATGATCTCCCTCTCCAACCCAGCCACCTGGTGGTCATCACTAGGAACACCACCTGGAGAGGCCATGGAGCGCACCGCGGCCGCACCATTGGGACCGCAAGCCCTCAAGGCCTGCGCGGCCAGCGCTCCAGCTCCGCGAAGTAACCTTGAAGCCATCTTTTTTTTCTTTTTCTTTTTCTTTTTCTTTTTTTTTTTTTTTTTTTAGATAGAAATATTTTCTTTATTAATGACCCCAACCGTATTTCTTTAGATACAGGAGTTTTGAACTCAAATACTTAGGTGAAAACAAGTTAAGATTGCATTATCCTGCAACTCATTACCAGTAACATATTGCAAAGCGAAACAGCTTGGAAAAGAGGGTGGGAGGAAAGGGAAGTGAGGGAGGAAAGATAAAGAAAAGGAATTAAGTTGATCAAGTGGAATTCTTTTTTTTTTTTTTCTTTTTTTTTCATCCTTGGGAACTATGAAGTCCTTGCAAGCACAGCTCGTTTCTGCAGATTATTTTCCAAACGTGCACAAAATGGAACCAAAGTAGGAATTCTCATTCTCATTTTGTCGATAAGAAAACAGGTTGTGCAAGAATTGACTTGCTTAATTAGGGCTGTACACATAAGAAAAGGTAAAATGGGTCTTAAACCTAGATATTGACTGGAAAACAGGTGTTCTTTCTGCTAGAGACCATAGGTGGCTTTGCCATATGTCTCTGTTAACATATACATTCACTTATAAAGCTCAATGACTCCCAAACCACAGTGAGCTGACTTGTATACTGTGGGAGAAAAAGAACATGCTTTGTGGAGTATGTTGCCTTTGACCGTTATGTCCTGTGCTTGGTGTAAAGAAGGACTGGAAAGGGAACTGACAGCGCTCAGAAGGCACTTAAAAATGTAGAGCAAGGGGTCACAAAGGGTAGAAAAGGATTTTCATTCCATTTTCATTGTATGTCTTCCCCATTACTTGAGACCAAAGACACACTATGTTGCTTTCCTTCTCCTCCTCATGACCGTTGTCCCTGGTCAAGCCTGAAACCTAGGAAAGTGTAGCTCTGATTAGAATCGAAAAACTCAAGGTAGAGCCTAAGAAGAAAGAGAATCAATGACTAATTAACCACATTTCAAGCCTCCGCTGTCATCCAAACCACGCTATATCCTTGATTTCTTTGCAAACATGACGTCATATAGGCAACCAAGGATACAGAACCCATGCTTAAAAGGCATATAAGGTGGAAAGCGCACACAGCACACAGTATTTTGTGACTTGGTGAAGCTTGTTTTATGAGAATTTTACATTTGCTGTACTTTCTTATTCAAGCTAATTTTTCTTTCTTTTTATTTTTTGGAGACAGGCTGTCACTTTGTCACCCAGGCTGGAGTGCGGTGGTATGATCACAGCTCACTCTAGCCTTGAACCCCTGAGCTAAAGGGATCCTCCTGCCTCAGCCTCCAAAGTAGCTGGGACTACAGGTATACTACCATGCTTAGCTAATTTGTGTGTGTGTGTGTGTGTGTGTCTGTGTGTGTGTGTATAGATGGGGTCTTGCAATGTTGCCCAGGCTGATCTTGACAGTCTGGCCTCAATGGCTTATCTGAATGCCATTATAAATCACTGGCTCTCAAGTTTCATGTATTTAAGAATCTCCAAGGTATTCTATATGAAAAAGCAGACTCTAGGGTCCTCATTGCCTTAGGTAGAATCTGAGAACCTGAGTCTTAAGTACTTAAGTACTCCAGGTGGTGTTGATAACACATGATCCATGGAGAAGTATCAGTCTAAATAACCTTTTCTCCCTCAGATCTTTTTACTCTGGAATTGTGTTTTAAACCTATGAATAATATATTGTTTCTCACATGAGCACGGAGGAAAATCGAATATGCTATTGTATTAACATTAAATCCAATATCAAATCCAAAACAATAATCAGCCAAGAGATTCCTTTTGCGATGGCTTATTCAAGTCTTTTTTTTTTTTTAAGCCTTCTTGGGCTTTTAATGCACAGTCAATCTTTTAAATTAGACATCAGCCAAGCGTTAGCTCACAATCTATATTGCTAAGTACTAAAAGCTGGCCCAGCATTCTGGCAAGAAAGATGAGCTGTGAAGAGTGAGGCTTGACAACCAAAATGGTGTGAAGTGCTTAGATCACCTTGGGGGGAATCTTGGCACTAATGCTGATCTCTATTTCCCAGAAGGTTCCTTTGGTGTCACACAGTGGGGAAACCATTAGCAGACATACTGCGAGAAGATTTTGATTGCTGCAACGCATACATGCTACATTTTCTGGGGATTTCTTTTTACTGCTTTAATTACACTAAATTCTCTAAATAATTACTGAGAAACTATGAGAAAGTATATTAGACTCAAGAAAAGGATACATATCATGGTCCTTGTTCAATATACTTCCTAAGGGCTAGATAGAAGTAGGCTGATATGATAGTAATTATGATAGAATATGAAAGGCACAAAACAAGGGTATGAACAAAGTGCTTAGAGCACAGAGGTTGTGAGGAACACAGGATGATATCTGAGCTAAGCCTTACTGTATAAGTAGGCTTTCACCAGGCAGAGAATAGAGCAAAGGCCTTTCTGCAGAGAGGTGCCATCTTAGGATAAAACAATAATAACAACTGACATTTCTTGAGAACTTATTTGCTAGGCATTGTTATAAGCACCTGTTATGTTTTTTCTCATTTAATTCTCTAAAAAACTCTGTGTCATGGGTGCTGTTATAATCCTCAGTATATACATGAAGAAACCAAGCTACGTGCACATGTGTGGAATACTCTTGGGTAGCACGAGCAGGTCAGGCAATGGCAAATGGTGTGATGTGACCTTGAGTCAACATCAGAGGTCAAAGGTAGGTGGGATCAAAGGTAGGTGGGATCAAAGGTAGGTGGGATCAGGTGGTGAAGAGCCCTCATCACTTAGGTTGATAAGTGCTTTTATTACATGGAAGGCTTTGTTTTTGTTCTTTAAATTAATATTTCTTATTACAAAAGTAACACCTATGTATGATTTTAAAATCTACAAAGAGCATATAATAAAAAAGCCCTGACAGATACTCAGTTCCATAAATTCCATCCCAGGAAACAACCACGGTCGTTAACTACTGACATATCTTTGTGTAAATAGTGTACGTATAAGCATCTCCTTTAGTTACCCTTTGTTGCGTGCAAAGGAAGATACTATACAAATCTTGCTTTGTATCTTGAGATTGGTCCGTATCAGCACATTTAGAGCTACCTTATTCTTTTCCCCAGCTCCATGTTTTCAAATTATGTAGTTGAACCATGGCTTATTTAACAGTTAACTAATGAGACATTAAATATGCTGCAGTCAATAAACAATGCTGATTTGAAGATTTTTGTCTTCAAATATGGAGCTGTTATTTACAGGAGACCCTTCTCAAAGAGGAATTTTTGTGCTTCTAGAAAATAAAGGAGGAAAAGCATGAACAAGGTGGCCTTTTAGAGCTATCAGTCTGGCAGCTGTGTGAAGGATGGAGCAGAGGGTGGAGCAATTAGAAGCAAGAGACTGGTCAAGAGTCTCTTGATTTCTTCCTCTGTCTTCTGCTCCCAGTGAGCACTGCTGAAACTACCAGCTGAAAGTACCAACAATGCTCACTGGGAGCAGAAGACAGATGAAAAGAGTTTATGAATAGAATCAGCTGAGAAAGGGTTTGCACAGCCTTTCTGACTGCTCTTGTTTCTTCTCCCATGCCTTTCTGTTTTCACTGTGCCGGTTTGGGGAGATACCTAGAGCCTATGATCAGAAAGGATGTGTGCTAACATCACCACCTTTGTCTTTCAGGGTAAGACTTCTTAATATTTTGAAATTAGTAACCACAGAAAAGTTAAGGAACCAAATAAGCAGTGGGAATATATGCAGAGAAAACCCCTTTTTTTCTTATAAAAACAGTTCCCAAAGTGAGCATTGAGTTATGTTAATAGTCAGGTGTGCACCCAATTCTACCAGGTGTTAGTGTGGATGAAGCTGTATATATATATATATATATATATATATATATATATATATATATGTGTGTATGTATCTTTTATTGCCATCTCCTTTTTCTTTTCTCATACCAATGAAAGCAAACTTGTTATCCTTTCCATTCTAGGGTAACTACAGTACCCTCATTAAGCCCCATGTTTTCTTTCATTCATTGTCTAGTCATAATCTTAATTACCCCTGCTTTAAAAAGCTTAACCTACTTAAAGAAGAAATAACTAATCCTAGTTTGACAACACATGTGCATTGCATCTGGCATTAGGAGCAACAGCGTCTATGAAGCATCTATCACTGCACGGCCTCTGAGGGGAAATGGCCGAGAAGGGGAGAAGGCTTATAGTTGCTGTCCTCTTTTCTCTGCTCTTCATGCATTAAGGCAGCTTTGGGAATAGCTCTACTCACTCCAAGCCTTGGCTCCGGAGAACTCCACAGCCCATATGCCCTCGGGCCATCCAGTCTTATATAATACAGAAATGAAGCAAAACTCCTCCCAGTGTGGTTGCAAGTCAATTAGAATATGAGAAATATAAAACTGAAAGCCAGAGAGTACTGGCTGCCAGTCACACAATGTGCCCTTCTGCCAGGGCATGCCTGCTCCCAATGATATGTGTGCCAATGCTTATTCTTTCTGGCAAAAAAAAAAAAAAAAAAATGCCCCAAGTGGGGCAGCTCCCACTGCTTTGGCTCAGAGGGAAACCTAGCGCCATTACACGCCCGCACTGCACAACCAGCAGGCAGGCTTTGATGACGGCATGGCAAGACAGTAGTTGCTGCTCATTCAGGGGGAAAAAAGTGGATTGTGCAGCTTGGCAGTCTTTTAGGCAAATGGTGTTTGCTATATGCCCAGAGCCTCTTCGTGCTTCCATTTTAATTACTACTGTTCTGCTTTCCTGGAGGAAAAAGAAAGGAAAAGGAGAGTTGAAATGAGACTCTTTCAGGTGGTGGGCCATATTTGCTTTTAGTGAAACTGACTTTATTCAACCCGTTTCTTCTTATTCCTCAGTACAGTGAAATGCAGAGCAAGTGAAGGAGCAGAGAAATGGGAGAAGTGAGAAGGTGATGATGGGGTAGGTTCTCAAATCACTTTTTGCTTTCATGCCTGGAACATTTCTCTGAGGCAGAACTTACCAAATAAATTGGATTTTAGAT